ATTATTTTTGAATAACGTTTGTGACACCACAGGTTACACTGCTGACACTTGATTGAATTGTTACCTACACCAGCTTTACAAACTGAACAGGGGCATCGTCCAGTAGCTGTGGATTGGATGGGTTCACCAGTGTTCATTGCTTTGGTTTTGCTGATGTTGACTTTGAATCCATGATCGGCGAGTCTGGTGTTCCAATCTGCATTCTGCTCAGACGTGGCTGTTAAAACGATATCATCAGCATATACTAGATTCCAAATGTCACCAGTGCGTATCGGTTTTGTGATTTCTTCCATCACAGTTATAAATAACAGTGGACTGAGAATCGAGCCTTGATGAACTCCAACGCCGATGTCAAATGCATCTGTGTTTCCAACCGTTGTGCTGACAAGAGTCTTAGTATTCGTATACATTTCCATCACAAGTCGAACAAGATATTCTGGAATGAGTTGTCGACGTAGACTCCACCTGATTGCTTCACGGGGAACTCGATCAAATGCTTTTCAAGGTCTACAAAAATGTGTGATAGTTGTTGATGCTTTGCGAGGTACTTCTCTTGCAGTTGCCGAAGAATGTAAATTGCATCAATTGTTGATTTCCCCGCTAGAAAACCAAATTGATAATTTCCGATTGTGATGCACGACGTTAATCTTCTCTCAATGATTTTCTCGAAAATTTTCAGGGAGTGTTCTAACAGACGTATACCCCGATATGATGAACAGTTAAATGGATCACCTTTGCCTTTGTATAGAGAAAATGTCATGCTATAGTTCCATTCAGTCGGCTTTGAGCAATTTCTCCAGATTTCACGGCAAAGTTGTAGTAACGTTTGGATACCTGCAGTACCAGATGCTTTGATAATGTCATTTGTGGGTCCAGAGGGCCCTGCTGCCTTTCCATCCTTCATAGCTTTCAGAGCTTCTGTAAGCTCCTCTACAGTGATGTCTGGAATCGGACCTTCGATGGGTGGAGCGTCAAAGTTATTATTGATTGGATTTGTTTCGTTTAACAGACGGTTGAAGTATTCTCTCCACTGTAGCTTGATCTCATCTCGTTCAAGAACCATCTCATTTTTGTCATTTTTTATACATGAGGCACCACTACGTCTTTTTTCGTACGCTTTGCTTGTTTTGCTAAACGATACAGAGATTTCATTTGTTCACCTTTGCTTTTAGTGAGCCACTCTCTGCACTGATCTGTCCGAGCCAGTGCAACTTTATGGTCATCAACAGACTTTGATTTTTGCCATTGCTTGTATGCAACTTTCTTTTCAGCTATTGCATTTTGTACACTGTCATTCCACCACCAAGTGTCACGTTCATGCTGACGTTTTGTACCAGTTTTCCCAAAAACTGTAGTTGCAGCGTTCATCAAAACGGTTTTGTATGTACTCCAATCTGTACTGGCTTGCGATTGGTGGTCTAACTGTGTTGCGACGATCTATTGAAATTTTTCTCTATGAATAATGCTTTTCAGCTTCCACGTTTTGATTCTCCGAGGCATTTGTTTAGACTTATGTTTTGACAGTTCGACAACCAGGTCAGCCACAAGGAGTCTATGTTGGGCGACACATGATTCGCCAGGTATATCTTTGACGTTTTTGAATAGCCTTCGGTGTTGTTGCTTGACAGCGAAGAAATCAATTTGCGTGGCTGATGGTCCACTTTTGTATGTTATGAGATGTTCCAACCTCTTTCTAAAATATGTGTTCAGTAAACAAAACCCGTGACTTTCAGCAAACTCAAGGATGCGGTTGCCATCTTCATTCCGTTTTCCATAGCCAAAACCGCCATGTACGTTGTCAAAACCATCTGTTTTCTCTCCAACGTGGCCATTGAGATTGCCTCCAATCAGGATTGTTTCAGATTTTGGTATTTTGAAGACTTAAACAATAATTCTAATATTTTGGAACCTAATTTTAAACATGCTGAAAATATTAAAACTGCAACCGTACAAAAAATATCGCTACTTCAAACAAGAGTGTTTGGGCTGATGATACGTACTCTGTAACCATTGCCGAAAATGATATTCCGAATTATTTTCAAACCATTGTGGGTAAAAAAAACAGGAAAAAATTAAAATAAGCAGCTAGTACAATAAACATAAATGAGTTAGTTATAAACAATGAAAGTGGTACTGAAGGAAAAAAATTCGGAAAACGAAACTAACAAAATTATTGGTAAACAGTTGTTAATGAGGCCAAACTGCAGGCTAATAAAAAAATTATTAAAAAATCCGTTTTTTCAATTAGCAACCTACGAAAATGCTGCTCAGAGGATGTAGTTGATTTTTTAAAATCAAGTGGCATTACGGTTATTACTTGTTATCCTTTAGTAAACAAAATCTGAAAGAGAAAACTTAAGCACCAACGAAAACTGTCAATCATCAATGCTTAGAGTTTGCATCAGGAGTTCTGACAGAAATAAAATAAGAGACTCAAGAAATAACTCTATGAAATTCTTGGGAATTATAATTCAGTCTGATTTGAATGCAGTATTGTTTAAAATATATCAATTCACAGGCGTCATTT